AATGAACTTAGTTTGTCAGGGAGGTGCTTTGAGTGGCGTAGATGATTTCTTGATAGCTAGTGCTAGCAGCATCTAGCAGCTCGTTTCAATCCCACACTGGCTCTGCTTGAAAGCATCTCGACATGAACATCTCCCGCTTCCAGGTGTCGCCGGTTCGCTGGCCGTCGGGGGAGCCCGAAGCGACCAAAACCGCGCCTCGCGCCATCCAAGAGCTGGCTGAAGACTGCACCGTGGAGGGTCCCACTGAAGTTTGTTAAAATATGTATTATAAAGTGTTTGTTTCCCCTTTATATATCTACGTAACATGCCAACCATGAGCAGAATTACATTGCTATATATACATGCTGGCCAAACATGGTACTGCCACCAAAGACCATGCCAACGGGTCCTGCAAAACCCAAACGGGTCTGCTTTTTTCTTCTTCGCAGGACCCCTCCGGACCACGGGACCGCGAGGTAAGTAAGAGGTGAGCTGATCAGGTGAAGTTTGATACGTTTGTTTCAGCTTCCCTATGGTTAAATCCCCTGAGTATGTGTTAACTAGGTTCCTGGGGAGCAGCAAATCCATTTGGGTTCACTTCTCGGCCCTGCGTTCTGAGCGAACGACTGTTCTGAGCGAGCTCTCGCTCCTGCGAAGCGGCTCGAGGGAACAGCTGTTCTTGGTGTTTTGGACCGGAGGTCGGAGGCGGAAAGAACACGGAGGTCGGAGGTGTGAAGCAACAAACATATGATTCATTCCTGGACCTTCAAGGGAATGTCCAATGGAGGTCCAGAAGAGTGGTGTAGGGGCTTCCATTGGTGGCCCCTTGGAAGGTGCTGGTTATATGATATAATTAGGCTGGTAGGCTCCACAAAACGCATGCAAAACACACATGAATGCAGTGTTTTGTTGTTTGCCCAATCGGAACCCCCAGCTTCGATGTGCAGACAACGCCACACATCGCCACACCTAGGCCCTTACCGTGGCTTGGCCGGTGTGGATCGTGTCCTCCATGGCGAACCTGGACAATGCCTGGCTGGGAGCCTCAGACCAGACGTGCCAGACTGGCGACAGAGTCGGCCTGCAACCGGTAGCCAGGGACAGGGATGTTTTTTATTTTTCAGAATGTGCCCCAAAAAAGGAACCTCAAGGATTGCATGGCCTGACTCTGTTTTGTGTTTTGGTTGTGTTGTGTTTTCTTCGCCCTTCAAGATTGCAAGGTCTTCGACTCTTCATTCCCTTCCCCACGACTCTCCCCCACGACCGGTCGAAGTACCGCTAGCTGGACTCCGTCTTCCACTTCCCGGCGCTTTCTTCGACTCCTAACGGGAAGGACTTCGTGATCCCCAAGTATATATTGATACACCCTAAGGCTGCAGAGGCTTCGTTCACGTGAAGGCTCCGATTCGTTGCCAAATGGTTGAAGGCTGGGGAAGAATTGGGAGAATAAGGCATAAACCCTAAGGCTCCAGTCATACCTTCGTTTCGAAGGTGGGACTGGGGTGGGTGCCAGGAGGGTCCAAATACCTTCTGAGGAGGGACGACTGGAGCCCTAGGGACAGATATATAGTGGATAGGATAGTGGCGTGGGGATCTCCATATTCTACCTATGTAGGCATGAGTCTAGTCTCAATGCATCACATCGTTCCCGTAAATACCTCCGTTCCCTCCGGTCCACAAGGCTGGTGGGCGTGGAGCGTGCGCGCATCGGTGGGAAGTGCCTGGCTCACGTCCTGGCCGACAGGCGTGCCGACATCGGTCCGAATGGGGGAAGAACCGGGGAAGACGACCTGGCTCACGGAGTGCGACTCGTGAGGACGTATGTTTTGGCTCGACGCAAATGGGGAACATTGGGGAACACATGGGTTTGAATTTTGGGGAAAAGAGAAGGCGTGTGTCTTGCGGATCTTGGGAGAGAGAACCATATGGGTGTGCATTTGAATGGGGAGACCTCCCAAAGACCCCCAGGAAGAAGGGAAATACGCAGGCCAAAACGCATGTTGTGGTTGGGGGCCCCCCCTATTGAAATGCACACCCATATCATGTTGGATCCTGATTAGTAAAGGGATCTTCTATAATGCTAAAATGTTCAATCATAACATAATTATATATATGACACCCATGTTCGTTCTATACACAAGTTACAAGGGTCCTTTGTGTTTTATTAAACACAAGGAGGGTTTCTAAATTTGTCGGATCCCTGTGAGTACTGCTAAGCTAATGACTGGTTTGCTGAGAGTATGTTTCTCTAGTTCTTCTTCAAAACTGACAGCTTCCAAAAGCCATCAACCCATTCCTTAATTGATGCGTTATGTAAAGGTCGCTCCTAAGCAAATGTTCAAGGCAGTAAAGGTAATAGACCAGGAAGGCCCCTGATCCTAAATACCAAAACTGTTTTAAGGGTCCTCAATTGTGCAAAGTGTTTCATCACTAAACATATAAAATAGATTAAACATAGTCTTAATAACTTAATACTACTAAGCCCAATGGCTGGCTTGCTGAGGGTTTGGTAATTGTAGGTTTCTCAAGTCCTTCTTTAAAAACGCAGAGAACCTGTGAACCTTCTTTGTACCCTTCTTAGCAGTATAAAAGGACTGCTGAGAATATCTACAAAGAACCTGAGAAAGGAACATGAAGAACTATAATCTGTGATACTCTGTGAATTGAAAAGAAAATCAATACTACAATCAAATACAAAAGGAATCCTCCCAGGAACCAGATTTGTTTTGGCTCCCATTTCTTTAGAGGAGGGGGGAATCCCTTTTTACTCATCAGGATCCAACATTACAGAGAAATGGCAGCGGTCCTCCTAGCACAGCTTCCCACGATTTCCTTCGGCTTCCCATGGTCCCCAGCCAACATAAGAACAGCTTCACCGGCTGCAGCACCAACAGAGGGACCCAGGGACCCCTCTATAAGGACCAATCAGTTCGACTATGCCATGGGTACCCCCGTAGGGATCCAAGTACCTTCTCAGCAGGGAAGGTACTTGGACCCTCCAAACCTGCATAACAGTGTGGTTCGGTACCCCAGGGATTTCGGCCCTAGTTCAGGTTACATGGCATACTCCTCTCTTGATACCCGCCCTGCCCGGATCCGGTGGATGCCGCGAGGCAGACGGTGGGCCAGAGACCTGTGACCTTGATTGGGCACTCGATGGGTCAGGGTCGCCCAGCATTTGTCGATGGTGTCGACCGGTGACGCCTCGTAGGGTTGCTGGCAAGCATGTTAAAAACGCCGCGGCGTTATTTTTTTCGAGATATGTTCTTGGGGTTGGTCCTATTACCTGTAACAGTCAGTAAACAAGCAAATCACTATTTTTGAACAAGGCCTGCAACTGAACCATCATATCCACTGGTACAGGTATTATAGGACAGACCCAAAATGTTCTCTTCCTTTTGGCTGATACCTCGAGGCTCCGGGCACAGTAGTTTTTGGACCTTTCCTGAAGACTGCAAACTCCCCGGGGCACTCAAAAAGCCGTCTTCGTGGAGATGGCATTCTTAAGAAAGCTTGTAAAAGTGGCGGCCTTCGCATTCGAGTAAACAGTCAAAGTATAGGAAGAGCAGAACCAAAACCAGTGCCAGACGCGACAACGATTTCGTTGACCGGAAGAGTCGAAAGTAAGACCGGAATATGCCCGGCGATGCAGTTCGCCCCCAATGTGCCGTAAACGAGCGCATTTGTTTTTTTCCCTGCTGATCAACGACTTGTGCAGTAGGTCACCGCCCACAAGGGCAGGTCACCGGCCAATGGTTGGGTGATACATTGGTACTAGCAATTACCATGTGTTCAGATCATGAATCCGCACATGCCAAGTGAAGCCATCCGGATAGGCTCAGAGCTCTTCCCGGATAGGCCACCGAACAACTCCTTTCACCGGCTCGGGTGGCTCCGCCGCGACCTGGGAATCCGCTCTCAGGTGCTCGGCTTTTGGTCTACTGCTTGCCCGGATGCCCGGTAGAAAGACGGTTCAGAAGAGAGCCTCCACTTGAGACATGTATAGCGCTGGGAAGAAAGAGGCCCACACCATATATTGTGTTGCTGGCTTCTGTCCCTTGGTGATTGCCCACTCTTCGAGAAGCACCACTAAAGCACATTACAAGATTAAGATGGACGTACAGTAATAAACAGTCTAGCTTCAAAGACACTACAAGTACGATTATGCCTCTTCGTTTGGGATGTGCTAAAGGTATTTTTTTTCCAACTGACTATCTATTGTTAAATCCATAGGATTCTATAGCTGAAGGATCCTCACACTTATTTCTTTCCGGGTCGATACTTCACCAAGATCTCACTCCTCAGTCCCAACTTCCAGGCGTGTTTCTGCCTTTGTGGCGCGTTGAACGAAACGCGTCCCGACGAGGTGCGAGCTCTATGACATGGGCGAGTTGCACGTGGTGGACGACGTGGTCTTGCTGGGAACGCCGGTGACCACCGAACCTGCCAAGTGGCAGAAGGTGAGGACGATGATGCCCGCATCGGTGGATCAGAAACACCACTCGGGTCCTAAGAAGGGTACCTTATGGCACCTTTTGAATCTCTTGGTTGCATGGGCAAGAACAGGCTTTGTTATGTTTGATTACTTTTTTTTGTATTGAGTAGGTGAGGACTTTGACTCGTTCAGCTTCGATGTAGCACTTAATTACTTGGACCTTGGACTGAACATTGGATACAACATCAGTGGCTTGCTAGGCTAGCTGATGGAAGCTCCTTTGTCATAACTGTGCAGACTTGGCGCTTTGGGTTCGTGCTACAGCGCACCGCAGGGGGTTCGTGCTCAAGCCCTTCAACCTCCAAAAATCTGGAAGATAACTTTATACAGGACACATGTGGACATCTGCGAAAAATCTATATGTCTTAATCAGACTCTGCGCCTCATGTTGAGCTGTTCATGTTGCGCTCGAAACAAAATGTCACGCCTGCAAGTCACTAGCCCCCCCATGGATTTGTCCGGGTGATTGCATGGTTTTTGGGTAGGACTTGGTCAACTGCCTGTACCATTTTGATGCACGGCTCCTCGCCTTGGCGGATTACTGGAGTCATTCACTGCGCTGCCCGGTGCCGGGCCCAGGGCTCCGGCACCTGGCGGAGCATCGCGTCGCCGCCATGGGCGCCGCTCCATGCGGCAGCGTAGCGTGCGTGGCGATGCAAGGACAGCAAGGAAAGCCACTGGGCTGAAGACGTGGACGTGCCGATGTGCAGATGTTACCCCATAAGTTTATCTAAATGAAGTGCACAGTATTCCCAGAACCTCCAGCCATACCTCCTCAGGTTCGGTATGACTGGACCCTCCTGGCACCCACCTCAGTCCCACCTTCGAAACGAATGGCACGACAGGAGCCCTAGGGATTGTATTCATGGACGCCACTGGCCCTTTGCGACTCCTACTTTCTGTGGTGAGGGAAAACAGGATTACGCAGCATTGTCCCATTGTTCACCTGGTCACCGGATTGCGATGTTTTCTGAACGCCTGGCTCGGACACCCTTGGGGTGATGGCATTTTGCAAATCTCAGCCAACTCCTGCTCAAGTTTATTCATGTTCGAAGTTTGTGTTGGAATTCAAAGGTGCAATCTATCTCATGGAATGGTGCAATCTATCTCATGGAATGGTTAGTTCACTAAACCAGTAGCCTAGGGCCTAGTACTCTATACATTTCAAAGTTGGCAACAAACATTCTGAAGACCCAACTGCAACCGTGGCTGGGCAACATGGCTTGCGCAGTCCATCGAGAGAAAGACTGGACTCCATTGAGACCATTGTAAGTCAAAAGAAGGGGCAAGTCGGAGGAAAGCTGCAGGAGAAGTTCAAGGTCCCGGAACGCTGCAGCTCACAAAAAAACACTCATGAGTTTTGCTGGGCAGATTTGGTCTACAGAGCCTACGGTTTTCATGAAGCCTGCACAGACTACAAGCGAGAGAGACCGAGTAGGCCCTCATGATGTGCCAGTGGAACTATGTGGAAATTACTCTGGGTCGCGCCCTGGCGTTGTACGGCCCAATTGGCCAGGTCTATGGAGGCGAAGCTCACCACTTTCAGCTGAAACATCCCAACTACGCCTTCATCGGTGCTCGCCATCAACTTCGACGAGTACACCTTGCACTCTATAAGAAGTACAAGTTTCTTGATTATGACAAGGATTTGATCATTTTCTCTTCAAATTTGTTGGCCATGATGGAGTCGGAGATGAAGACCTTTACATTGCTGATCCGCATGTTAGAGAAATTCTATTGGAAGCGCTTGCTGCGGCCCGAGATTGACGACGAAACTCATGGGAAGCAACGCAGTCAGGAGCAGGCCCGTCAGGTGCTGAGGAGCTACCGGCATTTTTGCCCAGTCACCTTTGCCGCCCTGAGACAACGAGGCTTTGAAGAAAGTCCTTGAAGATCGTAGATCAGTGGTTGCGGAGTTTCTTCAGCTTTGGTTGGGATCCCCGGCCGCAGCACATGGGACACTTTCAGAGACTCATTCAGGTGCTCTTCAAGGTGAAAGTGACCCTTTTCGAGATCTTCGGCGGATTTGCCTGTGCCTGCTGATGCAAAACTCGGACAAGCTCTTGGAGGCCTGCGATCAACGGGCAAGCACCAGGGACTTGGAGGCGATCGCCAAGCGAGTAGTGCTGGGCCGCAGCTTTTGGTGGCGGAGATGAACTGCAGTGACATGTTGGCCTTCCTGCCCCTGGGGGTCGCCGGTGGTTGGTGGATGCTCGGGCTTGACAGCGTGCTGCCAGGCTCGGGCCTTGTGATCCCTGCGGCCTGCGCTTGCATGGGCCTGGCAGCTGTTTATAAGGAGGGCTTGGGCACGCTTGTGTCCAAGTTCTGCAAGCCTTCAAAAGATGTCATCATGGGACCATTCTTCGTGGAAGAACCCGAAGAAGAGGATGACGAGGATGAGGCTGATGAGAGCCTGGAGGTGAACCTGGACGAGGAAGTCACCTTTGAGTTCCTGTGGGGCTACGGGCAGTGGCAGACCGGTTTGAGGCTCACCTACCACACCGTGATCTCAATGGACCTGAACCGCCTGAACCCCCCCCCTCGCCCACAATTCCGGTGATGCAGCAAGCCAACTCTTCCAAGCACCATCACTTCCAGAAACAAGGGGACGTTGGTGTCCAGTTTTGGGGACGGCGGAGCTTGGAACTCCAAGCGACATGGTGTACCATGTTTCGGGAGCACTCCACCTTCTGCGCTTGCGAAAGTTCCGAAAAGTAGTTTTTGAGGGGAATTGATGATGCACGTCACACAACAGAACATTGAACATATATGCAAGCCATTTAGTGAGAGTTGCCAGGAGGTCCGACAGCAGCGGCCTGAAGGCTGAAGCCTGCAGACACTCTCGACTTGGACATATGATATATACCCAGACACTCCATGGGACTGCCATAAATTGTGGTGGTTTGGGGGGTCAATGTAGGCATATATGGCATACATGGAGTGTCTGGGGTAAATGGAACGCAGAACTGTTGAGTGAAATTGGTGCACCATTTCTTATGCGCACTCCCAGGACCTCCTGCGCTTACGAAAGACTTTCCTTGGAGTTTTTGACGTCACACATGCCACACAACTGAACATCAGTCTATAAGATTCTACAAACCATTTTGTAGACAGCCGGACAGGAGGTCCGACAGCAGCGGCCTGAAGGATGCCTGAAGGCCTAGCGACTAGCGAGTGAAATGGTGCACTTCCGGTCAAAAGCTGGAGCTCCGCTGAGCGTAGACCGTGGTCAGGTGGAAGTGTCCGTCATCGAAGAGAAACTACATCAAGGGTATGCCAAGAAGTACTCCCTAGAGCTCCAAGTACTTCCTCAGCATGTGTTTGGGGTGGGTGCCAGGAGGGTCCAGTCATACCAGGAGGCACGACTGGAGCCGTAGGGGCAGGAACCCGACTTCAATTCCCCTATTCGCCTACATTTCTCGTAGTACATGGCCACAGCGTCACGCCAACCTGGTTCCAGGAAGCGGGCCTGGCCACACTGCCTTCGCGCAGCGCAGATGCGGCCGCCTGGGTGATCCATGAGCAGACGCGAAGAACGGCGTGGAGTGCGGCTGTCGGGTCTTTGTGGGAGATGCTGTGGAATAGATTGGTGCCTTGGCATAGGAAACACTCCCCGGAATCAACAGGGTTCCGTGGATGGCCACGAAAGGAAGACCGTAGACGGTTTTCTCGGAGCGACAGAGCTGGTCGCAGCTTGTGATCATCCACGACTTCTCGTGGCGCGCCGATACGGGGGGGGGGAATTCCGTCGGGATGAAACATGAATGGGTTTCCACCCACCCGTTGAGATGTTCAGCTCGACGAAGGATGCTTGGGCATCCTGAGCAGACGTTCGGAGTGTGGTGCCGTCAATTTTCCAGTCATTGAGTGCCACTTTGCACTATAGTCAAGTCAGTGTCCCATATGTCCAGCAGAACCAATCAGATCATGAGTATGTGTCGAGGGCTCCAACCCTCACCTACCCCGAACACCTTCTCAGGAGGCCGTTGGAGCCCCCCAAACCAAGGGTTCTTTTGATGTTTGTTCATGAAGGCAGGAGATTCAGCTGCCCAGGACACTGGGATGCGTGTCGCCGCATGTCGCCCATGTCTCTCCAGGTGCCCAACGTGATCACGTGCAACAGCGTCATCGCGAGCACCACCAAGTTCGCAGGCTTTGTGGGGGGGAGAGTTGGCCACAGCACCAAGTCACTGATGACCGCCACACTTCTTGAAGAGTTGAACGATGCTGAAGCACGGTTTGTTTTAGCTCTTTTGGGTGTAGCGCTGCGAAAAAACACTATGCAAACCTATGATTCAAGCAGTGAACATGTTGAAAGAGAAGAACACAGAGGTGCCACAAAAACGCCTGTTCTACCACAGCCTGGTGCCGTAGACGCCCGCCGCGGCGAGGCGCCTGGATTGTTGGGCTGTACATCTTGGAAAGCCTTCGCGGTCGATTGGAGCTGAACCCTTCGAGCTTTGGGCTGAACGGGGCGCAGCTCCGAACTGATGAGTGCTCAAAACTGAGGTTGTCTCAAGGAACACCAAGGAACCAGGTCAGCCTTTGAGGTCAGGTGGTTGTAAAACCCGTTGATTTCACTTGAGAATGCCATTTCATCGTCCAATTTAGTTCTTTCACCGAGCTGAACATCGCTTTTTGGTGCATTTCTCAGGAGCTTCAATGGACTTCTCCCCTCCTTAACCTGGTGGAGCACCCTGCAGCTTTGTAACCTCATGGCTTCGTGCCACGTGAGCGCGGATGTCATCAGCTTCAGCACTTCGGACCGAGGGGACATCGAGGTCCGGTGGTGAAACCGGATGCCACCAGACCCGGTTTGATCTTCGTACTACAACCAGTGGGGACGGCGTAGAGACCACCCAACGGAAGGACATTGGTGTGAGATGTTATGGAACCTCTGAAACGTAAATAGGGGGCCTGAACTCGGCTCCACCACGACTTGTGACCAATCGAAGACAGACCTTAACTGGTGGAAAAGACTCCAATTATCTCCAATTGAAGGTCCTTTTTTGGGGTCGATGGCGAAGGAGGAATTCGTCATGCATTTACCTCCTCAGAAGGTATTTGTACCCTCTAAATTTGGCAACGAATCGGAGCCTTCAGAAGAAGAGCAGGAAAAGCGCGGAAGCAGCGGTGCAACCTCCAGCGGTGGCCAATTGGCATATGTCCACGAAAATCAAATCCTTGGCACTGTTCTTGAACCTCCGCCCCTGTCGCCACGTTCCCATGTTTCAGGTATGTTTGAGACTTAGCTAGCCAACTTTTGTTTATATAGTTATAAGTCTGAGTAATGATCAGATTACTCAGCGACATGCTCTTGATTTGGTCCGAGATCAGCCCTGCATGCAAGGGTTCACCTAAGGCAGTAGCATGCGAGCCCTTGATGAAGTCGATTTATGGCCTCATGCACTACAGTCACTGAGCTGATCTGATAAGTTAACGTTTGACAAATCGCCATCTGGGCAATGTGTGATGCACCTTTTGTTACTGTAAAATACTTCACTCCCCAACACCAAACAAAACCATCAGACATCTGGAATCGCAGCGCCATGCAGCGCCCCCAAATAGATCGAAGCGGTCTCATGTGCCGCGGCCGCTGTGTTTCCTCCACACGTTCGGGCCAAGGCGGCTGGACGAGATGGAGATGCCGAATGTGGTGAGCTACAGCAGTTGCGGCCAAGGCAGGGCATTCCTTGGGCTTTCTCAGGCGTTCCCGTTCTGTCAGCCGCCACCTGAGAAAAGAGTATACAATAATATATATATATATTCCGTATACATAGACCACACACACATATATATATATATATTAAAATCATATCAATGAGTAATATGTAAGTATAAGTATAACCATAGTATTTTAGTATTCAACAATTGGGCACTTGGCATCTTTGTCCTGGCTGGTTGGATAGGATTCAGATAAGGCTTTCTCCCAGTTGTAGAAATATATGTGGAGCGGATTGGACTTTTGGCCATTGGCCGTCAATTGCGCCGTATGTGACTAGTTTATATATCGGTTTGCCGTTTTCATTGATTCATGATCAGACCGGTGCGTAGCTTTGGATGCCCCAGGGTGAACAAAATCCTTGGAATGATCAATTTGGTTCCCTATAGTTGGCGTCTTCCAATTTCTTTGTGGCCTTTGATGCACGCATTCTCCAAACTTTCTTCGGATGCTTCATCGATGCTTCATCAGGGAATCTGTTAGGCCCCTGGCGTTGCAGCTTCTGTTTTGCTCCAACGATTCCTCCGGAGAGTGCCGAGGCCGGTGGCCCTTGGCCCTGGAGTTGATGCAGCTCTCGAGGACGTCCAGGTGTTTTCCCACTGAACGAAGCTTAGGGCATTGCATCAATGCCTGTCGGAAGGGTGGGCAGTGGCAGATTCCGCTGCAGATGTTGACGGAGTTGGAAGCTTGGAAGGCGATACTATGCCATTGGAATTGGAATGAATTGGACTTTCCCATTTGATCTGTTTGGCATGGGAATTGCTCCGAGATCTTTGTAATTATGAAACAGGAGCTGCTTTCTGGTTGATGGTGTCTCCCCTATAGGGCTCGGTTTTAAAAGTTCTCAGGTTCGGTATGACGGGGGTCGAGCCAAGGATCAGCATCGCCAAGGCAATGTGATTTGCTTCAGCAGCGCCATCGACGCCGTCACCTTCAGCGGGCGTTGGGACGTGGCACTGGAGCTCTTGGCGCACATGGAGGACCAGAAGGCGCACTCGGCCACGCTGCGGATGTCGTTCAAAGGCGAGTGGCGTTGACCAACACTGAAGAGCAGGGTTGTCATGAACCAGGTGACTATAGAAGAAGGGGGACAGTAATGGACAGTAGGTGAAGGGATTGTGTTTGGTGTTTTTGTTCGGGAGGGGGCATTACAATGTCCTGAAGGAAATCTATAGTCGGAGCTTTTCCCAGGTCCGCCTTGAATGAAGCTGTGATGTTCCACCTTGAAGTCCCTTCACCCAAGAAGCACAGCACCAAGCCACACTTTTTGCACACCAAAAAAGACGCAGAAGATCCTGCAGGTGTTCGCCAATGACATCACTTACAACGCTGTGCTGAACGCCTGCGCATCGGTGGGGCAGCTGGACATGGCCCTGAAGCTTTTGGAGGTCATGGAGGAGGGACCAAGGGAGCTGATGAAGCTGGGAGCTCCATCAAGCTGGGATGGATTTCTTGAAGAGACCATCACAGGTAATGAATCAACACCTTGAGTATAAAAAGGGAGTCACAAAGGGGTGCCTATTGGAGGATAGGGGTGCCCATCTTCCACTCACTCAGGGACCAAAAACCACTCCTTTGCGACTCCTGGCAGGGGCTGATTCGTTGGGGGGAGCTTTTGGAGTTGTTGTTGGAACGTTTTGAAGGTTCATTATAGTTCATTTTAGATGATTCGTTGTTATGTGCCGTGACCCACACCCATGTTCCACCGATCTGCTACGATGTTTCTTCAAACTTCATGATCCATGGGTGGTGCACAAACCGGAAAGCCGCCGTTGGAACCGGCAATGGAGCTCCACCTGTCGCCAGGAGCTTCGTTGTGCCAACGTGGTGAGCTACAGCAGCTGCATTGCCACCTGTGAGAAGGGCGGCCACTGGCAGATGGCGCTACACCTGCTCTCCAGGGGCGAGGTCGCTGGCAACGTGAAGCGACGTGTGGTTGCTTTAAAGTCGGCTTGGTTTGCCCGTGAGGATGATGTGTGGATGTGTGTGTGTCCTGTTTTCTGGGTGTTTTTATGTTTTTCTCACTTCGGCTCGCGAGTGGCTGTTGGGCTTTCGAACGGGCTTCCGTGATGTGGATGTGTGGGAAATGGGTCCTATTAGGTGCTGTCCACTTCCATGTTAGTTCCAGGGAGTGTGAGGCTGCTCTCCTCAGAATCCTTCCACGATGGGCCCAAAGCACATCGAATCCCAGTCGATTTGGGATGGTTGGTCTTGATCATCCACAATCGATTTCCCCTTCCAGTGCCATCGCTGATGAGCTCCGGAAAAACCAGAGGCCACCAGGCCACCCATTTCCAGATACACTCCCTGGAACTAACATGGAAGTGGAGAATGGCCCCTTGGAAGACCATGTTCCACTACAAACAGGTGGTTTTGGACTTCCATTTTAGTTCCAGGGAGAGTATGTCCAGCATTTGGCCTCCAATTTAATGTTTTCGGACGGCCTGTGCTCGAACCCAATTTTGATGTCTCACAGATCAGCCATCGGAAGCTACGAAGCCATATCGTAGATGGCATGCAGTGGCAACGACACTTTGTCATTGCCAGACCCCATGTTGGATTGCTGGATCTGTTGCTTCTTTTACATGAATTTTAGATAAATCCATCTGGAAGTCCAGTGATCCAATTGCAGGTCTGGCAACGACAAATTGTCGTTGCCAGACTCTCTGAGGCGCAACCTCTTGGCTAGGTTGTCGGTGATTCAGAAAAACCTTTGCACCTAGCATACTTGAATCAGAGGGTGGGGGGGTGGAATTTTCATAAGGGGCGGGTCTACTTGACCTTTTATGCTTGAAAGGGAGATTTCTCATGACGAATCATGTACCTTTGCTTAAGTATGCAGAACCGCTCTGATTCTAGCCTGTTCAGAGGACAAGCCACACACCCAGGTTCAAGGCCCCTACCAGAAACAGCGCAAGAGTACAGCGCAGGTATTGGACCCAGAATGCACCAGTTCCCCGTTCACCTTTGGACTGGAGGACCCCTAAGACCATCTGACACCACGAGCGTCCAGTTCCATCACTTTGGTCCCCCGCTGTAGTTGGGAGGGCAGGTTCTCAGAAGGTCGCCTCCGCTTCGAGAGACCCACGACCCGCCGAAGCGCACCGCCTCTTTGCGCCTCAGGGGAGGCGTTGGCCGGCAAATGCTGTGAGCTACAGCAGTGCCATGAGCACCTGCTCGAAGTGCAGCTACTGGCAGGCCGCGAGGGAGTACAGTACCGTTACCTGAGTTTCACACGGGTAGCGGTACGCGAGCAGACGGGTCCGGGGGCGGTGTTTGGGTTTTGAAGTGTTTTTGTCCATTTTAGACTCATGCTGGACCATGCCTTGAAGAGTCTACATCTACATGACTTGTTTGTTCATTGTGAGCTCAATGCCTGGACTGGGAATTCTTTCCCTCTCACTGTGGCTGGGAGTGGGTGTTTGGGGAGGTGTTTGAGATGGACTTACACGTCGGATGATGTAGAGAGTAGAAGCTTCACGTTGACCATGCCACCGATAGCATTCCGATCGTCTCACCATGAACGGTGACTACGTCACGACGTGAGACCGGACATCGCGCGAAGGCCGCTCCGATCGGAAGGCCGCTCCGAAAAGTGCCAGCAAGCTTTGAGTTCTTTATGAGTGTTTCCCAGAATTGGTTTGCAGGGAAGTAACATCTACAGGAAACGGATCGTTTTGTTGGTGAAAACAAGGGTTTCCTCTAAGATGTTCCCTTTAAACAATGAAGTGTTTGGCCTTCGGTCATTTTCCTGTGAGCTTGAGTCAGTTCTTTGCATGCTAGGCTGTGCAGGGCTATAAATCCCCAAGATTCTCCACACACTTCAGTCATGTGTATGTGGAGCATTTACCAACACGATATGGCGAACTACAATATAGACTCTTGATGAATAAACCCTTAATAAACCTCCCAGTTGAATTGAACACACCTTTTCACGTGGGGGTTTTATCAATCAAGAGTCCACAAGTAGAAACAATTAGAGACCTTAAAATCACATTGACTCAACTGCCTTTTCCTTAAGTATTGGATTCAGATCACTTCCACCCTTGATAGGTCACCGACTGGGCCCAGCGGAACGTAGACGAACATCAACTGGACCACGATCCTGTGAGTGCCCAAACTGGAAGGGCCGCAAGCAGCAAATTCTTCCTGCCAGGTCGCCATTAGCTTGTTGGCCTCGATGATGGGCCAGGCCCTCGCACCAAACACCATCAACTTCAATTGCGCACTGAGCGCCTGCGAGACGCAAGGCCGAACGAGCTGCGCTGCCCCGCGGGGGTTGGTGCTGCGCGCGTGTGTGTGTGACCTGTTCCGTTAAGATCCGCTTATGAATGGCATGGTGATTGGCGAAGGCCATGCAGATGTGCAGATGAACACCTATCTACCGGAACCATCCGTGAATCAACCTTGGAGCCATCCGAGGTTATCTAGATCGAGATGATTGGTTTGGTTTTCTGAACCACTTCCGAATCTGCCTTGGAAAGCAAACAGTAAGGACTGGTGCCAATTTGCCTTTGGCTTTGAAGATCTTGGACACCATGCGAGCGAGGTTCGCCTGTGGCTGGTGCCAGCCCGTTTCGGTCAGTTCATCAGTAGGTCGTGTGGATGTTCCGTGGGCAAACAAAACAGGGTCTCCCATGGTCTTTTCGTGTATTTCTTTTTTGAGTGGGATGTTGTGTGGCCGTTCCACACTGCATTCTACTTTTAGAGCATCACCGATTGGGAGTTGGTTGTAATAGGATTTAATAGCGGTTTGCAGGCATTAGGTCAATCAAGTGTTTATCAAATGGTGCTGGAAAGTCAGGAGTGAGACAGATGAACTTGATGAAGTGCGATCCGCCACTCTCCATGAAGAACCAGTAATGTTGGATCTTAAATAGTAACCCCCCCTAGAAAACAATCGAGGGAGTCTGAATAGAAGCACCGCCACAAAACCATAAGTAGTATTGGTGGTGGTCGTAGTGGTGGTGGTAGTAGTGGTGGTGGTGGTGGTAGGAGGGGAAGAAGAAGTAGTAGTAGTGGTAGTAGTGGTAGTGGTAGTAGTAGTAGTCGTAGAAGTAGAAGGGTTAAGAGCGTTAAGAGGTTTTCAGGCCAGAGTTCCATCAATCAATCAAGCCTCAGAAGAGTTCAGCGAGGAATTTAAAGGGCGGCAATAGCAGAGCAATATAGAGTCACTATTGTAACTAGTATTCCTAGGGCTCCAAGTTTACTTATTAACCCCAATTCGTATTATTCACTTACCCGGGGCTTGTGTTCTACCCCTTGAAAAATTGTTTGGCGCAATGAAACCGATGAGTTTTCATAAGGGTTTTTAAAAACAGGTTTCCAGGTCAGAGTTCCGTGAATCAAGCAAAACTCAGTAGTAGTATTAGTAGTAGTAGCAGCAGCAGCAGTAGTGGTAGGTAGTCGTTCCAGTCAAGCAAGGGTTTTAAAGGGCAACACTAGCAGAAGAATAGACACATCAACGCTTGTTTAAAAACATTGGTGAAACAACTTTTTACTATTTCCATCTATTTCCACTCATTTAACTATTTATTCAGGGTGTGGGATCAATTTGGCGAAACATAACTTTATTCCCTCCCATTATACTAATTTGGATCTAACAGTACAGCCATTTATAACTATATATATACATGAGCCTTCATTTGACAGCGAAACCTTTAGTCTTCCCATGTAATAATTTACCATAGCCCTTGGCTTGGAACCGCCTTTGTTTTGATTGTTCTTGATGTCAACCATGTCTTAAGTGGTCTTGGAAGCCTAGGGATAGGATTCTTCAGCGAGGCTGGTGCAGTTTGGGAGGCCTCCGTTCCAAGCACAAAGAGGAGAACGTAACCCCCTTCTCCTGTCGTGCACGTCGTGTCTTCCGCAGGGCAGTGCCATATGATGTGATCAGCATCAACAGTTTGCTGAACGCCTGTTCCACCACCAACGACTGGCGCTGCTCATTGGATTTGCTGATCGGTGGTGGCCCCACGGATTCGCGGGTGAGTCCCAACCATATCAGCCTCTTAGCACTGATCGGTGACAAACGCGCTTCCATCACGTTCGATGGGGTGTCGGACACCTGGGCGCTTGGTCGCCAAATGGGGGGGAGCTGCTCCAGGCCAACTGTTCTCAATCCATTTGTCCTTCCCAGACACGACCCGTTTGGGACTGCCATAGGGCTGCCGAGAAACGGCCAGGGGCGGTGCCAGAGGGGGCAATGGGGCGGCATATGGAGTGTTTGGGCTTTTACACCCTTTTGTTATTTTAGGGTCACTTTGAAATACATGCGCTCCAAGATCCACAGCAATGTGCAATTTTCCACAGTTGACACGGGCGCTTGGACAATGTTCATGATGTTTGCAGACGTTGCTGGCAAGGACAAAAATCCGTTTGCAATGGGGTGAGTGGTTCCTATGCATGTTTCTCACAATCCCATGGCAAGCCTCCAGAAAGCTTTGGTTCAACACTTTTGAGCATGCATGCCGTTCGTGACCTTTCCTGTGGCCTTGGCAGTTTGCTCGGACTTGCGGCGAGGCAATAGCTTAGCAGGCTTAGCACTACGACTCAAGCGTTCACAGCCAAAGACAGCCATCCCAACAGTTCAACAGGGTTGCTAAAACAGGCCGATGCAGTGGTACCATCCTTTCTACAAACATGGAAGTGGAACATGGCCTTTTGGAAGACTGTTTCTTCTACAAACCGGTGGTTTTTCAGTTCCATGATTGCTTCGGGGAGGGTGTAAACTTGCTACACAGTGTGTTTTGGACTTTGTGCCATGGCTTGCTGTGGTAAAAATGCTTTGAACTCAACACCCCTGGCCGAGTATGCCAGATCGCTGACAAATGAGATGTCACGAGACGCAGTGCAGTGGCATTTCCCCATGTACACAGTACCTTTGAGCACTTTGCTGGAAATGACTCAGGTTGAACCCCACGAAGTGTTGATGGAAAGAGGTTGGTTGGTGAAGTTTCATCGAAGCAAAGGGAAGGCAGCGTTTGTGTCCCACCAATGGGCTGCGGCTGATCATCCCGATCCGGACTTCAAGCAACTGCGAGTCCTACAGGAAGCCTTGAAGCATGCTATGGAGAAGCTGGTTGCCATACCTGTGGATGCAATTTCAGAAGTGGCAGATTCCAAGGCCAAGCTGTTGCATACATTTGAGCTTCAATCAGAACCACTGTTTATTTGGTATGACTATTTCTCATGCCCACAGAGTGAGGATAAAGGCCCTGAAGCAGGTAGGGGCAAACTGCTGGATGCAATCGATAGCATCCCCGCTTACGTAGACGAGTGCTCCTTCTTTTTTGCGCTTGTCCCTGTCGTGGAGGATCTTAGCCGCTCCAAGTTAATCACTCCATTCACCTGGCAGGAGAGAGGATGGTGTCGACTGGAGCGCATTTGCCGCGAACTGTCGACCAATGAGTCCTGGGTGATCGTGAAAAGCTCTACTGAGCTGGAACTAGTCGCATCTGCAACTGCATCCATTTTGAATGGATCCGGACCTGTTGGTGAAGGCATTTTCACAGTGTTGGAAGATCGTTTAAAACTGGCTCCAGTCCTTTTATCGGCCATCAAGCGAAAGATGCAAAGGCTTTTGAAGAGTCAGGACCTGGCGGGATATCGTGCATTGCTCAACCGGCAGACCGCCATGCTTCGAGGCTTCCAATGTGATCCTCTTGGAGGCTTCGTGCCAGACACGGAGGACTCCAGCTCCACGCCAGTGAAGCACTTTTGTCACCAGAATGGCTTCCGAAGTATCCATGAGAAGGACCGGTATGGATGGCAAGCCTTACACTACGCCGCGCTCAAGGGAGATCCATACTTGGTCCAAGACTTATTAGCACTGCAGGCGGATCCCAATTGCGGAACTAAGAGAGGCCACGAAGCTCTGGGTCTTGAAATTGGGACTCCTGGTCTTGCTGAAGTTCTTTTCTGTTTTCTTGAGAATATGTTTTTTTCTCTAGGAACTTTTCAAGACCATCATGTCACCACCTGCTGCAATGGTGCTTAGTTTCTTGATATTTCTTGTGTTTTTGGCAAAGCCTCCGGAAGGGCCTTTCTGAGCAAATTCAAGGAGCACTCCCCTCACTATTTGCTGCCTCTTCCAGCACACGGACGCTGCGCGAGTGTTGATCTCTGCCAAGAGCGCGGTCAGGGGAGGTGGAACGGTCTACCATCCTTTGGGGTGTGCTGCACTCACGAACAATGCGGAGTCCATCCAGATTCACAGTCAAGCATTTGGGCTTACAAAGGGATGGCCTGGAGACATGTAAGGGCCATCAGAAGCGTCCCCCCAAAAGCATCCCTTTGTGAGCCTGGCGCGCCCTTTTCGACTTTGAGCCTTGCATTTTGGAAGGAACCCACATGAGTCCCGAAAGTGAATTCACTTCCTTGTCTAGTGTGCTTCTCAAACGGACACCCGAGGATTCTTTGCGATGCAGGCTGCAGTCCTCGTGATCAAAACACCTTTGGTTTCTCCGCCATGGCCTTTGCTGGCAATGTCGGGGCATTAGCTTCCATGAAGGAGCTCCTCCAACAAACGGGCCACGTCCCCGCGCTGGATCCAACGAGGGCCTTACAGTTTGCCATGTATGGCTGTGGCGGCAGCGCGGAGGTGGTGCAGTGGTTGGTGGATTTGAAGGCCGACGTGAATGACCAAAACTTTGCTACTGCCTTTCAAGGTACCCGAAGCTTCCGGGCGATCTACACGCTGAAAGTCCTGCAGCACAAGTTTCACAAGGTCACTAGCGCCACGAAGAGGCTCTACCACGTGGAAGGCGCCACTGCATTGATGATGGCCTTGCTGACCTCACAATACGAAGGTGCGGCAGCCCTCATTGCCGCCGGTGCTCGGCTGGACTTGAGGAATGCACGGGGTTGGAAGGCAGCGGACTTTATGCGAGGGCGTTCAGTGCCGGAATCTCGATCGGTTTACTTCGACTGATCGAGTTCAAGTGGTTTGGTTTCTGTTGTTTAGACGAAGTGTGTGCGTGTTTGTTTGGCAACTTGGATTCTTTTTGGCCAATATTCATCCCCTTGAAGTCAATATATACTTTTTTTGTTTTCCGGTCACCGGTCCGGTCTCCGTCCCGATCTCCGGCCCGGTCTCCGGTCACCGGTCCCGTCTGCGGCCCGGTCTCCGGCCCGGTCTCCCCGGTCTCCGGCCCGGTCACCGCCCCCCCAACGCCGGCCACCGGACCTGCAACCAGTCAACAATTGTTTTTTATCCATGCAACATCTTTCTTAAAATTTTACCCTTGCATTGCCCACACAAAGGGGTAAGTCAAGTTGAAATGGCAACCTCCTTCTCTAAATTTTACCCCTACATGGCCCACCAAAGGGTGACTCA